ATAATAAAGATTTTGCTCAAAACGTAGCCGCACATTTTACAACATTTGAGGAGTAATTTGAAGGCACTCATTCACAATTCTTTGTCGCAGGTCTTCGAATGATGTTGGCTGAGTAGCATAGATTTTGCCTTTTAAATGACCCCACATAATGAAATCCAAAGGTGATAAATCTGGCGATCTTGGGGGCCATTCAATGGCACCTCTTCTACAATCCATCGATCTGGAAACGTCTGATCTAAATATTGTCGAACACGTAATGCGTAATGTGGTGGGGCACCATCCTGTGGCTGCTGTATATGAACCTCATGATAAATTTTGGGATTAGAATCGGACCAATATCGGCAGTTATGACGATTTACTACGCCATTTAAAAAAAAGGAACATTCGTCGAAAAGCAAGTGTTGAATAGAAAATGTTCATCGTTTATAATTCGTTCACTCATATCTTCACAAATTTTAATCGCCGATCAAAATCGTCTTCATTAAGTTCTTGTACCAGGTGAATTTTATACGGATGAAGACTATGGGCCTTTAGAATCCGTTGGACAGTAACGTCGACTAACACCACACACAGTCTCCAATTTGCGGGTATTTAACGTAGGATCTACATAAACTTGCCCTAAAACCCCCACTTCTATTGCTTCGTTCCTTACGGGATTTTCAATGTTGCGTTTTTTTATTGGCGACTGACCCAGTTTCCCGAAATTTAGCTACAAGTTCTAGAACATATTTTCGATGCACGTTACTGTTCTCATGTCGCTCATTAAATATTTCTGCTGTTCTATTAGCGCACTGATTATTTCCGAAAAATATTTCGATAATTTCAACTCTTTCACAAGTTACAAGTTATTTTAGCAACAAAGATTGGTCAAATCAATCTGTACTAAATTCCTATTTAAAATAAGTACGAGATATTTCCTAACCTTTATTCAAGAAATAACTTTTTTGCCACAAAAAAAAACGCTCCAATAGCTATTTTCAACAACAAAATGATAAACAAACCATGAACGTAGTGAAAAAAAGTATTTACTTATTAAGTAAATTCTTTAGTCAAATTTCTTCTGAAGTAGTACAAACGAATCTGATGTACCTATTAAGTCTACTTTAAGCTTTAAAACAATAAATCTTCAAAACTACTGAACTGAAGCTCATGTATTTTACATCATTATAAAGGGAATTGAAATACCTTTAAAATAAGGTATAACTCGACCCCCCTTTTCATTTAAGATTTTAGGGTTGGTGTCACCCACGCGCAGGGGGCTGCACGTGTTAACGTGAGTTTTTTGCCAAACTTGTGTTCCCCTCGAAAACAAAATCAACGGGTCTGAGCGTTTTTCAAAAAAAAAAACTGAGCTGCCAGTAAATGCGTCTGTTTCGTTTTCGATGCGCCACCCTGTATACAGGGTGTTCCATAATTATTGCGACAAAATGATAGGGGTTGTAGAGGGCATAAAAATATGCAATTTGCCTTATAAACCCCTGTTCGTAAATATGCCGTTTGAGCACTACCGCTAATTTTACCTTAAGAGCTCATAGGAGAAACAAAAATTCACCAGCTGCAAAATGTTCGTCTAGCACATTTCATGGTCTCGCCGGTTTGTAAAAAAAAAGCCTGCTGTGTTTACATTTTTGTTATCGTAAATTCTCCACACCGATTCATTTAATTTATATGAGTGGTGAGTCAAACTATGTAGATAGTAAATAACAGTACCTTAGTGTTAAAATGCAGCGTTATTCGTATGCGGAACTTGCGGATATGCATTTAATTTACGAAGAAGCTGGTGGTAACGAAAGACGAGCCTCGCGAATCTACGCCCAACTGTTTCCAGAACGTCCTCATCCGCATCACGCCATTTTTGCAAGGATTCATGGAGTTTGAGGCAACCAAACTTTGGTCGCTACGTTTTGTTCACTAACGAGTCTTGTTTTACAAAGGACGGTTATTTTAATAGCCGTAACAGTCACATTTGGGATGAAGAAAACCCTCATGCCATAGCCATCCAGACCAGAGACCAACATCAGTTTTCATTAACATCTGGTGCGGCATTGTGGACGAGCATATCATCGGGCCATATTTGCTTCCACCACGTTTGGATGGGCATGCTTATGGTCGATTCTTACAGCATGTGCTACTGGAACTATTAGAAAATGTGCCCCTGAACATAAGAGCGAACATGTGGTTTCAACACGATGGCGCTCAGCCCACTTTTCTTTACAAGTGCGGCAGTATTTGGACGACAAATTTCCAAATAGGTGGATAGGTCGAGGTGGCCCTGTGCCTTGGCCTGTGCGGTCACCCGACCTGACCCCACTGGATTATTTTCTCTGGGGCCATCTGAAAGCTTTAGTGTACGAAACTCCTGTTCCCAACCAACAAGAGCTACTGGGAAGAGTGATGGCCGCGTCCGCACATGTTCAGGACATACCGGGGGTATGCCACAGAGTTCGCCGATCATTGAACAATCGTGCACAGCTGTGTATTGAGCAAGGTGGAGGACACTTTGAGCAATTACTGTAGGTAAGCTGTTTCAAGAAACTGATCTTTTTTTTTTGTTGCAGCCCAACGGCATGTTTCCGAACAGGGGTTTATAAGGCAAAATTGTTCATTTTGATGCCCTCTACAACACCTATCATTTTGTCGCAATAATTATGGAACACCCTGTATAGAAGCATAACCCTTGTTCAGTCTTTGCACACCTCAACTCTTGCTGCTTGAAGTCAAACCACGGGGCCATACAGAATAGAGTGGTGATTCTGTATGTAAGATTGCTGACAAGACGAACACTGTTTTCTTTGGTAGCGATCATCTTCAAACACATGATAACTGGGAGAGGAAACGAGCGATAATGGTTATGGATGTATTAGGGAAATGAACTCTTTTTCAACGACGTGTCACAAGTGACATTTTTCGTTTTAAAATGGCGGCGCCATAAAGGAATTTGCGAATAACCTAAAAACCCGCCATATTCTTACAAGACAAGACTCTTTCCCAATATTGAAGCGATATTTATTTTTATTTGCGAAATAATTCATCATTTTCAATTTTGAGTTTCGCCCGATATACAGGGTTGTCCGCAAAGTTGGGTTTTCCTTTACACGACGTGTAGATCTTGAAAACATAAGCAATTTTTCCTTAGTACCATATACAACCAATATCTTAAGGGAACCGAGATAAAAAGGCTCTGCAATACATCAAAAATATCTTAATACCGTCCTGTAGCCGCGACCTGCGATATCCCCCGAGTGGTACTAGACACTAGCTCAACCGACGGCAGAACTGGGTCGGTGTCAGTATGCAACCTCCAATCGACGGTTACGGTCACGCGTGTAGAGGTAAATGAACCCTTATAATCGATTTGCGTTTCAAACAAGAAATAATAATGGCACACTCATACACCAATAATGACTCGTTGATATGTTGTTAATTTATGGCGAATGTCCTCAAAATGCTACAGAGGCGTCGCAAGTGTATGCAGATCATTTCCCTAGACAACATCATTCAAGGCCCCGCAGATTTGTGTACCTGGTCCAGAGAGTCAGGGTTACGGGCCATTTGGAGGAATTTCGAGGTGGGCACAATGGGAGGCCTAGACACCACGATGGTGCAAGTTGAGGAAGAACTACTGAATCGCATAGACGAGAATCCCTCACAAGCACTAGAGACGTGGCTAGAGAAGTGCAAGTATCAAAAACTAAGTGTGGCAAACGCTGCGTGAAGAGGGGCTGTATCCGTTCACGTCCAACGTGTACAAGCCCTTCAACCTGACGATTTTCCAGCAAGAGTGCGGTTTTGTGAGTGGTTGTTGCATCAACATGACAATAATCCGGACTTTTTGAAGTGCATATTGGTGACAGACGAATCTACATTCACGCGTAATGGGGTGAATAACTTTCGCAACACTCATGTTTGGTCAGTAGAAAATCCGCACGCTGTCCGGCGGGCACATTTTCAACAAACATTTTCGGTGAATGTTTGGGCTGGCATGGTGAACGGTATACTCATTGGACCATTTATTCTCCCAAATCGATTGGACGGGATGCAATACCTAGACTTTTTACGCAACGTTTTGCCTTCCTTGTTAGAAGATGTGCCATTAAGTGTAAGACAATCAATGTGGTTTCTGCACGATGGTGCACCGCCCCATTTTAGACGCGATGTGCGTGAGTTTTTGAATGAATTATTTCCGAATATTTGGATCGGACGTAATGGACCCGTAGCGTGGCCTCCGCGATCTCCAGACTTAACACCATGTGATTTTTTTTTGGGGGAGAAATGAAACGCTTAGTGTACAAAACTGAAGTGCATACGGTTGACGACCTTTGTCTCAGAATTGAACAAGCTGGTGCTTTCATTCGGGGGAGGGACTCCATTCTCAAAGCCTGCACCGATGCTTGGCTACGTCGTGCACGCACCTGTGTTTTTGAATCAAACGTCGATAACTTCGGACAATACTTATAAAGTACGTTTACCTAAAAACTGAAAACGCGGCAACGCCGTCTTATTTGTTACCTCTGTTCGTGGTCTGCACCACCGCCGGCGTCTGCTCGGTATCGCATCAGCTGATTTCATTTTCTGTTGGAGCGGTATGATTTCGGGCAGAGACGTACTTAGCCCTTCTCGTCAACTGGAGAGTGAGTACTTTTTCCTTTATTTTTTTTTACTTGGTCGCCCTCGTTTCACTACACATTACCTTTGTTATTTCAAGGGTAGTTGTTTCTGAAAAGGAAAACCCCAACTTTGCGGACACCCTGTTTTGTTGTATTGTAAAAAGCGCTGCTCCCGCTTTTCAGTTTTAATACCGATATCCACTCCGCTTCCCGGAGACGAACCATCTTTCTGAACATGAATGCAGACCCCCCCACCGGCCTCCAGACATCCCTACTGAAATTCGCGCTTGCAGAAACCGTATGTAAAATACAAATAGTGCAACGGTTGTGTCCAAAATTTTACGAAGATGCTAAATGCTAACAAAAAATTAAAACGTCCTTTTCTTATTACAGGGGTGCGTTTGCAAGGAACACTGTCTTGAGGGTACTGAACATGTCAGGAAACCGCATCAAAAGACTGGATCAGAATTCGTTTAGGGGCATGCGGTTTTTGAGAAGATTGTACTTATCTGACAACCAAATAACAGATGTAGGAAGAGGTACTTTCGGAACATTGAAAAGGATTGGAACTATAGACCTGGCGGCGCGTAATGCTTTGAAGAAGATTGACTATCAGATGTTTTATCAACTAAATTTCATCGAGGTAATAATATTATCTAAATTCATCGTGTCAGACAATAGATGGTGTTTTCTTTTTTAAGTGGGCAATTTTTGGGTCCATCTTATATGTATGTCTTAAGCCTCTTAATTTTTGAGATATAGTGTGTCTTTAAAATTGGCAGGTCACTGACTTTTCTTAAGAAAATTGAATCTGTATTCACTTATGAGCCGATTTGATAATTTTTATTCTGAGAGAAATCGATGGTGAATCTCCTCCGTACGAATTCCACTGGTGGAAATTGAAAAAAAAAATGTGGTAAATTAAAAAACCTCAAGATACATGTATGCCAAATTTCGTCATAATATCTGAAGTGGTATTACAGACCTTAATAACAAATTATTTATTTTTGAAAGCTTTATCATCCTGTATTTCAAAAATTATTATGTTTACGTCATAAGTTCATATGATCGCACCATCGAATATTGACATTCAGTTAGGACACCCTGTATATATGGAAGATAGTTCATGAATACCACACCGTACAGAAAAAAACAAGCTCACGATACAGGCGATCTTTTGGAAATTCTTCTTATGGTGAGAAGTTTTGAATGTACTGACCTTACGAATAACTGAACAAAATATAAACAATATTGCTCGAGAACAGCAAGCAAACTTCAAAGCTAAAAACCATCTTGTGAATGTGAATACAATATACAACAGACGAGTGTCGGATCGGTCATAAGTTGTATTAGCAAATACTATTTTGAGGAAGTGGAACATTTTGCGTCCCATTTGTCGGTAATAACAGGATGGAAAGGGTAAAAAAGGACGATTTTCCACAAAACAGAGCGTCACTTTATCCTTAAGTTGTATTGATGAATAAATACTATTTATATATTAAGAACAAAACAAATACTTCAAGTGCCAGATCTTGGATGTTTCCCAAAACCATGTAACAGATTTGTCATAAGTTGTATTATTATACAATTTATTAAATACTGGGTGCGCCATCTATTACTTTTTTTTACCAATAAGTTTATAAATGTTACCATGCGAGTCAGATTTTACACATTGATTTACACCTCCTCCTCGTAAAAAAGTAATAGATGACGCACCCTAGAACGAAAGGTAAAACTCAAACACTTTTGTCGTTTTTAGATCTTGGACGTTTCCGAAAATCAAGTGACAGAAATTCAAAAATTAGCCTTCAAGGATCTCTATTTAACGCACATCGACTTATCGAAAAACAAAATACATAAAATAGAAAGCGGCGCTTTCGAAAACTGCGCTAACATAACAAAGCTGGATCTGTCTTTCAACCAAATTGCAGCTTTGCCAAAGAAAGCATTCGACGAAAACATATGCCACGGAATTGCAGCTTTCATACAACTTGTTTGAAAATATGACACAGGTAAGAAAGACACAATACAGTGGACCTCCGGTAATCCGACAAACATTATGCAGGGCAGTGTCGGACTATCGAATTTGTCGGATTATAGAGCACTGCCTAAGACCCAATATAGTCCGTATTTTTTTACAAAAGAGTACCTTGTAATCCGAAAAAATACATATCCAATGGTAAGATTATATATGTTATGTATGTGTATGTACTTTGAAGTACAAATCATACATAGTTTATGTATGTCGAATTTAGTAAATTAAATAAAAATAGAGAGCTTACGCTTTATTATAAAATTAAGTATAAATGCACATACATACCAAAATAATCAAGAATTATTTTTATCAAATTATGAAGCTTGGAAATATTCATCAATTTTTGTTTTGTTTAAGGTTGTTATAACGCGAGATCAGAGCTTTGTCTCTGTCTTCTTAAAAGTAAAAGTTCGTTGTAGGATGTACCATTCTCTTCAGCCCATTGTAAACCTAACTCAAAGGCGTTAATTGCGTCTTGTGCTGTGACTTGTGGAGCAGTTGCAATCACGTCGTCGTTATTTTCCTGATTGTTTGTTGTATAATTAGAAACCTCTTTTATAATCTCTTCGTCAGACATTTCATGAAAAACATTTTCCTCTTTATCCATTCCACGGCACCAGATTTCCAAATCTTCCGGACTTATC